TTTATTTATTTATTTATTTATTTATTTATTTATTTATTTATTTATTTATTTATTTATTTATAGTTCTGAAGAACACTTATTTAACAGTTAAGGACCATTACCTGGAGTTTGGAGGAGTGTCACAAAACAAAATCTAGAAGTATATGTTAAATTATGTGGTACAAGCTTAAACACTCGAGGAAAAGGGAAAGGACCAGTGTATACCAGTCTGGAAGGACTTCATGGAGAAGAGAGTTTATGAGGCTAAAGATGAAGAGATTTTTTTTTTTTTTTAAGATTTTATTTATTTACTTATTTAATTTTTTTTTTTTAAGATTCCACTCATTTATCTGAGAGAGAGAGGGAGAGGGGCATGAGAGAGAGAGAGTGAACATGAGAGGAGAGAGCAAGCACCAGAGTGGGGAGAGGCAGAGGGAGAGGGAGAAGCAGGCTCCCCACTGATCAGGGAGCCTGATGCAGGGATTGATTCAGGACCCTGGTATCATGACCTGAGCCAAAAGCAGACGCTTAACTGAAGAACCACCCAGGCATCTCTTAAGATTTTATTTTTAAGTATTGTCTCTGTGCCCAACATGGGGCTTGAACTTACATCCCTGAGATCAAGAGTTGCATGCTCTACCAACTGAGTGAGCCAGGTGACCCCAAAAATGAATAGATTTGAGATGACTTGGCCAAATGATACAAGTTCAGAATGAACTTTATAGGAAGCACTGGGTTTGGAGGTTCTGGGTTAAGCACTAGTGGGAGATATAAAATTAGATACAGAGGAACGTCAATAGCTGTATCAGCAATGGAGGGTAATAATCTTAGGTGGAAATAGAGAAATATGTGAAAACTCTGCTGACTAGAAAACATGTTCTATAAGTGATATTTTTCTATCAAAGGAGAGTCTATTTTAATGTGCATTTTTCTATAGAAATTAAACTGACTTATTTAAAAGTTCACCTGTAATATTTCAATCGATGGAAGGAATTCGATTTAAGAATTTTGTGGAAAAGCAGGACTTTTTTTTTTAATGTATAATGTATTATTTGCCGCAGGGGTACAGGTCTGTGAATCATCAGGCTTACACATTTCACAGTGCTCACCATAGCACATACCCTCCCTCCCCAGTGTCCATAAGCCAGCCACCCTATCCCTACCTCCCCCAACCCCCCAGCAACCCTCAGTTTGTTTCCTGAGATTGAGTATCTTATGGTTTGTCTCCCTCCTGATCCCACCTTGTTTCATTTTTTCCTTCCCTACCCCCCCACGACCCCCCGCTCTGCCTCTCAAATTCCTCATATCAGAGAGATCATATGATAATTGTCTTTCTCTGATTGACTTATTTCGCTTAGCATAATACCCTCTAGTTCCATTCACGTTGTTGCAAATGGCAAGATTTTGGTTTTTTGATGGCTGCATGATATTCCGGTGTGTGTGTGTACCACATCTTTATCCATTCATCTGTTGATGGACATCTAGGTTCTTTCCATAGTTTGGCTATTGTGGACATTGCTGCTATAAACATTGGGGTGCACGTGCCCCCTTTGGATCCCTATATTTGTATCTTTAGGGTAAATACCCAGTAGTGCAATTGCTGGGTCATAGGGTACTCTATTTTCAACTTTTTGAGGAACCTCCATACTGTTTTCCAGAGTGCACCAACAATGTAGGAGGGTTCCTTTTTCTTCTCATCCTCGCCAACATCTGTCGTTTCCTGACTTGTTAATTTTCTCCATTCTGACTGGTGTGAGGTGGTATCTCACTGTGGTTTTGATTTGTATTTACCTGATGGCCAGTGATGTTGAAGCACTTTTTCATGTGTCTGTTGGCCATTTGGATGTCTTCTTTGCAGAAGTGTCCGTATCTTCTGTTTCTTGATTGGATTATTTGTTCTTTGGGTGTTGAGTTTGTTAAGTTCTTCCTCGATTTTGGATACCAGCCCTTTATCTGATATGTCATTTGCAAATATCTTCTCCCATTCTGTCAGTTCTCTTTTGGTTTTGTTGACTGTTTCCTTGGCTGTGCAAAAGGAAAAGCAGGACTTATTAACACACACTACTGTTTTCTTAATTTGTAGACAATGCAGATAGCAGTACACTCCATGCTGTAACCTTCCTTCGAACTCCTGAGATTCTTACAGTAAATTCAATTGGGCAGTTAAAAATATGGGATTTCAGAAAACAAGGAAATGAGCCCTCTCAGATATTATCACTGTAAGTTGTCATTTGTAATTCACTAGGGTAATGCAAAATTAATTTGTTAAATTGTTTATAGAAACTGACTTTAAACTGTATTGTATTTTAATTGCATTTGGAAAGAATGATCCCTGATTAAATTTGGTAAAGCGAGTACAATTTGTTGGGCTTGCTGCTGCTGTGCTGCATTTAGTAAATATTTGTCCTATTGATTCCGAGGCTTTATCTCTTTTTGAAGTTTATATTATTTAATGGGGAATTTATTTTTGCTCAGCAAATGATTGTACTGATAGTAGGTACAGTGCACTTCAGATGTGGTTGGATGAAAAACACAATCCAGGATACTTTTTTCTAAGCAAAAATCCCCATTCTGTGTGTGCAGTTTTCTCTTCTCTAATAAGAATATAGAATGTGTCAAACTGAAAAAGTAATTATATAAACAAAATATTAAATAAGGTGAAGGTAAAGAATATGCTGCTTAGTTGTACATATTGTTTTTAAAATGCCAAGAAATGGAAATATGTTTGCATATCTTACCATCAGATTATCATGCTCTTTATGTCTCCAAATTGAAGAGGGGATAACTTTGGCTTTAATTCCATTGCAAAGTTCTAATATTTAGAAATATATTTAATGCACTCAATTTTTTGACATGATTTAAGTTCAGCCAGCTGCTCCAGCCGCAAAGTTATCATTTCGTTACTAGAGTAAAACATATTTCATGGATTATGCAAAGATAAATCATACTCACAGCATGTTTGTTGTCCTTGTGTCTCTCATAAAAGGACTGGTGACCGAGTACCCCTCCACTGTGTTGATAGACATCCCAACCAGCAGCATGTTGTAGCTACTGGTGGCCAGGATGGAATGCTGAGTATTTGGGATGTTAGACAAGGCACTATGCCTGTGTCTCTGCTGAAGGCTCATGAAGCTGAAAGTAAGTGTTGTGGCGATACATAAGTTTTTGTCAGGTAGTAATGTGGTATATTGTAAGGAGCTTTCTATAATGATACATAGGGATCATTTTACATTGTAGCTTTTGGCTAAATTATATATATGTATAATAATCCCTTTTTATTTGACACTTAAGTGTTTAAGATTTTATTTATTTGACAGAGAGAGAGACAGCCAGAGAGGGAACATAAGCAGGGGGAGTGGGAGAGGGAGAGGCAGGCTTCTCACAGAGTAGGAAGCCTGATGCAGGGCTCCACCCCGGACCCTGGGATCATGACCTGAGCTGAAGGCAGATGCTCAACAACTGAACCACCCATGCGGCCCAGACGCTTAAGTTTTTCAACATGTTTCATTATTCTATCCAAAACCACAGTAATTATCCTTACGTGTTCATCTTTATGTGCTTCTTTTCTTTTTCTTTCTTTCTTGCCTTTTTTGATTTAAATATTTTTTTTTTTATTTGACACACCGAGAGAGAAAGCATAAGCAGGGGGAGCAACAGGCAGAGGGAGAAGGAGAAGGAGACTCCCCACTGAGCAGAGAGCCTGATGCAGGTCTCAATCCCAGTACTCTGGGATCATGACCTGAGGGGAAGGCAGACGCTTAACCAGCTGAGCCAACCAGGCGCCCTATATGCTTATTTTCTTGGGATAATTTTTTAGAAGAAGTGGTGAGCCAAAACATAAAACTGTGATACATGTTATCAAACTGTTACACATAAAAATACCAATTTATATTGCCATGCTCTTTATAAGAGGATGACCTATTCCCGTGTAAATGTAGGCTATTTTTAATATTTGCCAATCTAGTGTTCCTCAATTTATTATTGTACCTTTTTTTTTTAAACAAGAGCAGTATTTATATATAGGATCTTGTCCCTTTTTTTGTTCATTTTTTTTATTTTGGTGGGGATTTTTTGACCAGACAAAAATTTTTCATTTTATCATTATCTTTGATATCATGACTGGATTATAGTTTTAAATTCTGACTTAAGTTTATGGTAAGCCTTGCTTGAATAAAAATGCAAAAGTAGAAACATGGCAGTATTGTAATGTCTCGGTTTAAGTTTCGCATTATTACCTTGGAAAGACAAATGATTTTTAAGATTATATTTAAGAAGCAAATAAAAGGATAGAAATATTTTGCCTCTTCCAGTTATAACTATACCCAGGGGGAAAAAAGAATAAAAAATAATGTATGTCCTCATAGAATCTGATGTTGGCTAACCCAGTGGTAGTAATACTAGAAACTTCCAGATCTCTTCTTCCAGCCTCCCTTTTTAACTGCCAGCCTGTATTGCTAAGCAATACATACAGATGTAGCAGACTGTAATGTATTGTTTTGATTCATTCTGACTCTTGGCTAGAAATAAGATGTTTTAGTATAGAGGTTTGTGTTATACTTTGAAAATAAATACTTAAGAGTCTAGGTTTGTACAGTCAGCTTATGGTTCTATAGGCTATTTTCCTTCACTTTTTTTTAAATGAAACAGTATGAATATATTTTACATAGGGGTTTTCCCAGAACACGTTCTGAGGAAGATGACCTTGTAATGTTTGGTGGCTTGATGCTTAATTATGGTATATGTCAGAATAAAAATTGCCCACTTGCAAGCATGTGCCTTCTAATACTTTTTATGCTTTGTCCCCAACCTTCTATGCTGCCTCTTGAAGGTTCTTATCCAGAATCCCAGAACCCTTGTTCACAGACTACCTGTTTGATTTGTGTGCTGCAGAGAACCTCCTAAGGCGTCCTGGCCAGTCATTGGCTCCCGTTTGTCTACTGAAACACAAAGTTCCCTTAAAGTTTAGTACTTGCAGGGTTCTCAATCCCAGATTGGCTTCTTAAAAGCCCTCCATCTGAAACAGTCCAGATTCTGGGAGCATTTCTAGGTTTTAGTTTGCTTGGAGCTGTTGCTATTTCTGTGATATATACCAGAGGTATCCAGAATACTGGCATGAAGCAAAATTGAACTGCTGCTTAGAAATTCATTTGTATGTTTTCTTTATGGTCTTCTCTGTTTTTCCAGTAATATAAACTTCATATGTATATATTTTAAGATTTTATTTATTTGAGAGAGAGAGCAGAGAGAGAGAGACAATATGAGCAGTGGGGAGGGGCAGAGGGAAAAGGAGAAGCAGGGTTTGATCCCAAGACACTGAGATCATGACCTGAGCCAAAGGCAGTTGCTTATCCAACTGAGCCACTCAGGCGCATCTAACCTTCACATGTTAGTAACACAGGAATTGAAAATAAGAGAACTTACCAATTTAAAAAAATATTTTAGGGACACCGGGTCGCTTAGTCTGTTAAGCGTCAGCTCAGGTCATGATTCCTGGGTCTTGGGATTGAGTCTGCATCGGACTCCTTGCTCCTGCCTGCCATTCCCCTGCTTTGTGTGCTCTCTCTCTCTCTCTCTCTGACAAATAAGTAAAATCTTAAAAATACATATTTTAGGAATTATCCCATTGTCCTGTTCTTTCATTAAAAAATGTAATAAATCAAATGATTGGCATTTATTTTCATTCACTTGCTGGCCCAATGCACAAATAGATTTACTTGGCTTCTTTATGCTATCTGTATGTTATAGCCATTTGGAGAATTATATTTTGTCTTTTAATTCTGAAGCCTTTGATTTTTATCACAGACTTAGGGTTTGAAGGTATGTGATGGAGGTTAATGGAAGATGATGCCTAGAGACAGGGCTTTAAAGTTTGTTCAACTCATTTGCACAGTTTTTAGCATCTTGGTTCTTACCTTTTAGTGTGGGAAGTTCACTTTCACCCGTCCAACCCAGATCATCTATTTACTTGTTCTGAGGACGGATCCCTCTGGCATTGGGATGCCTCCACAGATGTACCTGAAAAATCATCACTGTTTAACCAAGGTAAAAGGATTTAAGAAAGATTCTTGTGTGTAGTTTTGTTACAGTTTAAATTCCACATTGGAAATTCTCAGATTTTTACCATTAAAGAATGATAGAATGTTTCCATTCTCCTGCCTCAACATAAATTCTGGTATCCTAGAGCTTGAAATCCATCAGCTGCTTATTGCTGTAGTGCTGATGACTACAAATGCCATAGCTGGCTCACTTCACACAGCTGGGGGTCTTCATGCTACATTTCCAAGACTGTCCATTAAAGAATCACCAGAAAGATGCTTACTTGAAGACTTCAAATTCGATACCCATGGTATCCCATAGAAATTTGAGTATTTAATATCACTGAATGAGACTTTGGTGAAAAATGGTGATGTGTGATAATGGAGTCATCACCCTGATATTCTGAGAATTAAGTTTTGATCCTGGCCTTTTTAAAATATCAGTTGAATTTCAGATGTTTCCTAACATAATAGTAGTCTTGAAAGATGTTTTCCCCTTTTTTTCTTGCAGGAGGAAGAAATAGTACTTTTTTGTCTCACAGCATTAGTAACCAGGCTAGTGTTCACCAGTCTCTTATAAGCTCCTGGCTCAGCACTGATCCCGCAAAAGACCGTATTGAAATCACAAGCTTGCTTCCCAGTAGGACCTTGTCTGTGAACAGTTTGGATGTTTTAGGTCCTTGTCTTGTTTGTGGAACTGATTCAGAAGCAATTTATGTTACTAGACAACTTTTTTCATGAAAATACTGTCATTACAAGATTTCAGGTAAAGCATATTGTTAGCCTTTCGAAGTACAACTTCTCTGGAGATTTTTATTATTGGAAAATGTGAAATTTGCAAAGGAAGCTTCAGTAAACCATTGGTAATATCGATGCCTCGTTTGGCTTTTGTCAGTTGAATGTTCCCACAGTTTCAGAGTCAGAGAGAATGCTGATGGTGAGAGAATTGGAATCTGTGGAAGAATATCAGAGGGATCCTTTTGTTGATGTAGACGTTGCCTTCAAACAGGCTATTCTTTTTGATGTTGGGGGAATTCATAATTTTCTCAAACCACTAACAGGTTCCTATTTTTAATGACACTATGGTGGCTATTACCCCTCCCTGGTGGCCCAGGCCAATGTTAATGTTTATCCTTTTTATGGTAGATATTTTCTTGAATCTTCCCACATTTTATTTCCTTAATAAGTTTAATAAACTTCATAAAGAATTGAGTAAAAATGACAAGCTTTTGTAAAAGTGTTCACATTTTTTTAAAGGTTTTGTTTTTAAAGAAAAGTGTTTTGACAGGTTCCTCTGTTAGAGTAGATTTGAACAGAACTTTCAACTGCTTAGACCCAAATTCATTTTTCTTGAAAAAGGAAAAGTACATTTTTCCTAAGGATTTTTGCTTTTATTTAGTTTTAAAAGATAGTTCAAATGCTGAACTGGATGTTGTGCAATAAAGTAGAATTTGATATTAATAAGAGAGCTGACTTCCAAACTAAAAATTGATAGATAACATGTATGAGATGAGTATGATGATATGGTAAGAGTAGAGAATTTTGCTGTCTTTGTCCTTATCTACTGTGTTAATGATAATCTAACCTGTAGGTGTTTTGTTTATTTTTTAATATAGTTGACACGGTGTTACATTAGTTTCAGGTTAATGTGTCGTGCTTAAAAACAATGTTGTGGCATTGTCTTTCTAAAGTTAGTTAAATGTTATTGAACGTGAAGACCTTAATGACAAATCACTGTTATTATGCTATTAAAGTGTGTATTCATTTACATTATTATTATTCATTTTTATTAATTCCAGTGATAGTAATTATGGTAAAGTTTTGTTTTTCTGTCCTAATAAATACGGTCAATTCTTTTATGCCACCTTACCTCGGGGGATTTTGGCTTGGGCATTTTTGTCAGCATTTTTAAATGGAATACATATATGCAATCTGCTTTTTTATATAAATTTAACTCAAAAATATTTGATAAAATCGGTAACTTGAATTCCAAAGAATGAGAGAAGGAAAGAAAATGTTGCCATAGGAATTTTTAATCTGTTTATAGTTTCATTGCTGAGACTAATTTTTAAGACTTTTCTGTTATTAGAGAAGTAATTTGTTACAGGAAAAAAAAGTCAAAAGAAATTTTTAAGTACTTTTAATATCAAACAATTAATAGTCTTTTCATTTCCTTTTCTGTCTATCAATGTGTGTAGAATTTATTAAAATGAAATATAGCATGTTATATTTATGAATATACATTCCCCAGCAGTAATCACATGGTTTCCATAATAAAAATATAGCTATTAATTTTCCTTTGACTCACTTCCCTTTATATGAATGTCTTGCTGCAGCCTGAGCTTCAGGGTCCCTTTCCTTACTTTCCAGGCATACTCTCATTCTATTCAGTAGGCTAAATTCTTGCTGTGGGTGGGCGCTGAGTTGATGTCACTCCTGGAAGACTAGCTCGGGTGGGGGGCACAGTTTTCATGCACACTGAGTGGCAAACTTGTACCTCTGCTTTCATTTACATTATATGCTGCTGAAAAGTTTAAAGGATTCATATACGTTGTTAGCACCCTTCTCAGGTTTCAGCAGCAATACATACAATTTCCCGAGGTTGTTATAGTAAATAATTGGTAGAGGGAGGGAGCCAGATGTGTAGGCTTAGAATATTAACTTAGGCTGCAAACAAGTTTCAGGTTTGAAGCTTTGCTTTAAGAGTATTTATAACCAAAAAGAAAAAAAAATAGTATTTGTAACCATGAATAAAAGCAAGTACATTTGAATAGTGTTAAATTTCTTATCAATTGATGAATTCTGCCAGATTTAGTAAGAAACATAAGCTTTATGGAAGATAAACCCTAATTCATAAATTTGTTCATTATCACTGTCTTTATCCATGAAACTATCACATAGTTTCTTTTGAGGGCTGCAGGATCACAGAGGTAGAAGGCACCTTGGAGAGCATATCTAACCCAAATTTAACCATCACTTCCACAGCATTCCCAACAAATTATCATCCAGCCTGTACTTGAGACTATATTGTGATCAAGTTTCCCATTTCCCAGTGCAGCTCTTGGTCAGCTCTTCTTGATACAGCATTATGGCAAGGTTTTAGTATATGAGTGGAATATAAAACAATCCCATAAAAAAAAAGTAGAATCATGTTATTGTGGGTTAATGAAATGATCATGTGAACCTACTGCAAGACAGCCAATCACCATTCAGTTTACTGAATTTGCATTATGTGGGGGTGCTTTAAGGTTTCACTAAATAAATTAATTTACTGAACGCAAATTTGCTTTCATTTCTCTTCCTTGGGAGCCACGAAAAAATTTAATCCTTCATCACATTTCCAAATATTCAGAACTAAATAATCGTAGCTTTTTGGGGAAAACTTTTTTAATCCCTTCAATGGTTTCTAATGGGCAAAGCTCTCTTTGCAGCATTACTTGCCTTATTTTTTTCTTTTTTTAAGATTTTATTTGTCAGACAGATTGAGCACAAGCAGGGGGAGCAACAGGGAGAAACAGGCTCCCCACCAAGCAAGGAGCCCGATGCAGGACCCAATCCCAGGACCCTGGGATCATGACCTAGAGCCAAAGGCAGATGCTCAACCGCCTGAGCCATCCAGGCACCCCTGCTTGCCCTTCTTGGTTAAATTCCAAACCTTCCGGAAGATGGCGCCGAAAGCTAAGAAGGAAGCCCCTGCCCCTCCCAAAGCCGAAGCCAAAGCAAAGGCTTTGAAGGCCAAGAAAGCGGTGCTGAAAGGCGTCCACAGTCACAAGAAAAAGAAGATCCGCACATCACCTACGTTCCGACGACCCAAGACCCCAAGACTCTGCGTCTCCGAAGGCAGCCCAAATACCCTCGAAAGAGCGCCCCCATGAGAAACAAGCTTGATCACTATGCCATCATCAAGTTCCCCCTGACTACTGAGTCAGCCATGAAGAAAATAGAAGACAACAACACACTTGTGTTCATTGTGGATGTCAAGGCCAACAAGCACCAGATCAAACAGGCTGTGAAGAAGCTCTATGACATTGATGTAGCCAAGGTCAACACCTTAATCAGGCCTGATGGAGAGAAGAAGGCATACGTTCGGCTGGCCCCTGACTATGATGCTTTGGATGTTGCCAACAAAATTGGGATCATCTAAACTGAGTCCAGCTGGCTAAATCTAAATACAGTTTTTTCATGATTAAAAAAAAAAAAAAAATTCCAAACCTTCCAAACCCCTTTTAGGTGTCATTTTCCCAGAAAGACTTCCCTGGCCTCTGACAGTTTGGGCTAAATTATACTCTGCTTCAAGAGCCCCATTGTGCAGGGCCTGTGCTGTGCTTACAGCTATATTAAGCAGCCTTTCTCAACTGGACCAAACAAATAGGACCCATATCTTAGCATTGTATTAACAATGTTTAATACAGTGTCTGATCTATGGTAAACACTGAAGCAGTGCAAACTGAGCTGAGCTAACCTCACAATCTTGTTTTCCCTGGGAAACAAATACTCCTTTTGCCAAAGACCATCATTAAAGTGTGACATCCAAAATGAACACTTTCCCAGGTGGTGTCTGCCTCCTTCAGAGGTGACTTAAGAAAGCTTACCATCCTGGTTCTTGGTACAATATTCCTTTGTAATGCTATCTCAGTTTATTTTAAATATTCTGACATTTGCTCAATTAGACTACTGACTAGTTGAAATTAAACCCTTTGCCTTTTTCACACATGTATACTATACTATACTTCCCCTAGTGTTAACGCAGATGATTTTGATCCTTACTATTTGGTCAATCCCTGTTCAACAAAGACAAATCTTATTTCTGTAAAGAGCTAACAATCTGGGGTGCCTGGGTGGCTTAGTGGGTTAAAGCCTCTGCCTTCGGCTCAGGTCATGATCCCGGGGTCCTGAGATAGAGCCCCACATCGGGCTCTCTGCTCATCGGGGAACCTGCTTCCTCCTCTCTCTCTCTGCCTGCCTCTCTGCCTACTTGTGGTCTCTGTCAAATAAATAAATAAAATCTTTAAAAAAAAAAAAAGCTAACAATCTCCTTTGAGGGTCTTCCTCAGAAGCCAATCATTTTCAGAATTTCCCAGCATGATCTACATTCTCACCCCGTTGGTTAGGAGATAGGATAAATGTACTGAAGTGCTTAGGCCCACTCCTCCAGTCCTCCCAATTAATCAGTGACATGTGAATCATTGGTATTTGACTATAGTTATTGAAATCTTTATAAACCAACCTAATGTACTGACATTCTGCCCCATTTATCTTGTTCACAAAGCTGCTGTAGGGAGATACCTGTGCTATAGCTATCCCATCAAAAATTTTATATAATTGAAAAATTCCTTGTCCTTTGTAACACTTCCATTTCATGGTATTAAGGAAATAATCCTTTAAATAATCCATTCTAGAATCTTGACTAAGAAGAACACTAAGTCCACCAGTGTAGTTTATATCAAGCCTTCATTTAAGCTTATGGTATCAATATGGTACCCAGCTCAGACTAGTTAACATGGTTTGAAGCAGTAGCAGTGCTCTAGTCTTACAGATCAGAAACTTGGGGACATCTGAACTCTACCAAGCAAGTATTCAAACTTTCAACAGTATTGTCTGAACCACAACATTAAGTGGCAGTGTAGAGAACTAACAGACTACCATTATCTTCACATCAAAACAATTCCAACATTTTGCTCCATTAGGTCAGTGAGGAGGGAGAAAACTATAGGGGAAGGGTGAGAAGGGAGAGTAGATGAGTAGAATACAGCTGATCAGGTTAAAAAAAATTTAAAAATAAACTAATGTTCAGTTCCAAACCGTTGTAACTAGACTCTGGGGGACAGTAGCTGACACACTAGTCTAACAGAGCCATCAGAAATGCATCAGCTGTCAAAAAGTAATTTTTGTTCAGGCTGTGGACATAAGAAACTAAACTGTGATAGGCTGTAAAATAATAGCTGCAACTCATCAAAACACAGATTTTACCCCTTCATTGTATAGAAGGAAGTTACATTTTAAAACTTGTTAGCAAGAACTGTCCTACAAATAATGATACTCCAGTAGTAACAAGCATACCCGAAACCAGATTTGGTTTCTAATACCCTTCTCCAAAAAAAGGAAAAAGGACTTCTTGAAGGAACAGGGAATATATAAGATAGCTTGAAGCATCTTGTACTGTCAGAAAGTAAGGGAGTTTAAAAAAAATTTTTTTTAAGTAGGCTCTGCACTCAGCATGGAGCCCAATGTGGTGGTTTAACTCATGACCCTGAGATCAAGACCTGAGCTCAGACCAAGAATCAGATGCTTAACTACCTTAGCCACCCAGATGCCCCTTAAGGGAGTTCTTTTTAAAAATGATTTTAAAAGGTATAATAATGGGGAAGATGGCATGTCAAAGGGACACAGAAAACAATTCAACTGGAAGAGCTCCCCATAGTGAAAGCTGGAACAATTTGATCAACAAAATAAATTACTCAAACCATAAAATAAAAATCCATGAGTCCACATTGATATGAATATTTTAAAAAAATGGAGAAGAGACAAATCTGCTCAGAATTCCATCTGATTTATGTAAATTCTCTGCCCAAAAAGAGGTAGAACACAATTTTCACCCTTAAGTATGGGCTGCTCATAGTCTATAGCCTTTCCCTAAAACTGAGGGAGGAACTTAACATTCTCAGGGCCACATTGCTCTTCAGACTTCTTCCATATTTGCTGCCCCTGTTCCTCCTGTCACCCAAGCATGAAATTTGGCGCCTACATCTGTTGATAAAAAACGAAATGAAATCCGAAGTCCCCATTTCCATGAAGCTTGAAAAGTTGAGTAGGTTGAAACTGGACCGAAGGTTTTCCATCATACCAACACAAAGCCCTTCAAATGCAGTGGTAGGCACTGCCATTCAGAGACATCCAGCAGCCTTAGTAAGCACTTCCCTTGCTCTTTCACCTACCCTCAATCCCC